GAGCCGGTCGCGAGGAAACGGACCGGTGACGTCCATGGCAATGGAGAGACCGGGTTCCCGTGGGATAGGCATCGGGTGTAACTCGCCGTAGGGATTGCGGTTCCGGGGCTTGCTGCGTCGGCAAACTTCGCAAGAGTCGCAATACCGAGTGACATCGGTAATGAGGTCGGGCCATCGGAATCGCTGTCGAAGCCGTGCAATAGTGCAGTTGACTCCGAAATGGCCGGCGAGTCGTGAATCATGATACTTGCCGAGGAGGCGAGTCTGAAGACGACGGTCGCGTGGGACACATAGTAAGTCCTTGCCTCTCGAGTGGAGGAGCAAGTACCCGTCGGCAATGCAGTAATGGCTGKCCGGCGGGTGATCCGAAGATAGCTGTGCATAGAGCGTGCCGAAGTTCGGATCAGACTGATATGCCCGGATGAAGTGTCGCTGAAGCTCCTCGTCGAATGCGAAGGCACGATGTGTCATAGCGCAAAGATCAGGTCTTCGCGAGAGAGCATCTGCTGCGCGATTGGAGAGGCCGGGAAGATGTTCCGGTGTGAAGTCAAACTGGTCGATGAAGTACATCCATCGTCCGATCGTGCTGCTCACCGTATCCTGCGTCTTGTAGTAGGTCAATGGATTGTTGTGAATGACCCATGTGAACCTACGACGCCCAAGGAGGAAGTGCCGCCATTGCTTGAGAGCCATGACGAACTCGAGTAGCTCCTTCTTCCTTGCATCATCAAGCGAGTTGATGGGAGGCACTTTGTGGCTGAAATACTCCACAGGGTGCGAGTCGTCGCCGTCGTGTTGTTCCAAGACTGCCCCAATACCGTAGCCGGAAGCGTCCGTAGTCACTCTCATCGGCAAGGTGGGGTCATAGATGCTAAGGAAGGGTGCCATGAGCATAGCCGTCTTAAGTACTTGGAATGGCCGGCGTGCGTCGTCATCGAATACGAATGGCACCTTTGGCGACTGTAACCTCGTCATAGGTGCAGCAATCCTGGAGTATCCGGTGATGAATCGCTGATAGTAGCCCGCCAATCCCATGAATGAWCGAACGTYCGTGGTGTTGGTGGGCTCGGGCCATACTCGTAGGGCCTCGATCTTGTCCGCGAGTGGACGGATGCCTTGCGGCGTCACATAATGGCCCAAGTACTCCAGCTCCTGTCGTGCGAATTCGCACTTTGTCGCGGTTGGCCTTGTACTTGGCTTGTCGTAGCCGCTCCAAAACGGTGCGCAGGTGTTCCACATGCTCCTCCAAACTCGGGCTGTAGACCAAGATGTCGTCGAGATAGATAAGTACGTATCGATCCAGCATGTGTCGGAACTCCGTTGTCGTAGCCGCTTGAAAAGTGGCCGGGGCATTTGTAAGGCCAAATGGCATGACCAGCCATTCGAAATGCCCATATCGCGTCTTAAACGCGGTCTTGTAACGGTCCTCCTTGCGAATCTCGAGTTGGTGATATCCTGACTTGAGATCCAGCTTGGAGAAGAACTTGGCATCGCCCAGTCGCTCGAGAAGGTCGTCGATGCGTGGGAGAGGGTCGACGTTCCTGATCGTCTGCGCGTTGAGCTTGCGATAATCGATGCACAACCGCAGGTCCTTGTTCTTATTCCGGACGAAGAGAACAGGCGCACCGTATGGCGATGAGCTAGGTCGAATCCAGCCTTTCTCTAGAAGGTCATCGAGTTGTGCGCGTAGCACACTTAACTCTTCCTCGCTCATTCGGTAGATGCAACCACGTGGAGGTACGGCCCCGTCCTCGAGGATGATCTCGTGGCGGATGGGTCGATCCGGTACTACTCCGTGCGGGCCTTCGAACACGTCGCTGTAGGCGTCGAGAAGTTCGGTGATGCGTGGATCCGAAGGTGAGTCCGTCGATGAAGCGTCATGTGGCGGGAGGGCGTGGAGAAAACACACCCCCATCTCCTCGATGTCGTCTCTGATGATGGAAGCTCGCATGCTTGCGGCGGATACCACGAGGCAGCTGATCGAAGGATGAGGAAGAGGCACCGTGCATGGAACTAATACTCCGTTCCGGTCACTAATGTGAACGGTGCGGTTGAAGAAGTTCAATGGGTGATCCTTGCTTCGCAGCCATGACATGCCCAAGATCATGTCGAATTTGGTGTTCAGAATGTCAAAGGACACCGCCTCACGTGCGTGAGGGGCGAAGTACATTGGGACGGCGTCAATGCACCGGTCGATGGACTTGTGCGTATGACCGTCTGCCAGGGTGACTTGCGTAGGCTGGGACTTCCTCCGAACACGTGGGCCAAGGCCGGCGCGTACCATGAAGTCCTGGCTGATGTAGTTGCGAGATGCTCCGCATCGATCAAGGCACTGCAGGTCGCCTCTCTGATCTGAATGCGTATGTATAGCAATGGTGCGTCGATGTCGTCGTACCGTTGCGTCTTGAACTCGCGGTCGATCTTCGCGATGAATGCGTGAAGGTCAACAACCTCTGCTCCGGCGTCCATCAACGGAGCTGGTATTGCAGTGTGCAAGTAGTCCCGCAATTGTGCCATAAGCACGTTGCAATGCGGTTTCGGCAATTGTCCGGTCGAGGGAACGGGCATCCACTGGAAGTCCGTGAACGTCAACGGGTCGAGCTCTTCAAGTCTTGACCATGACGTCGAATCCCCGACGATAGATTGCGGCGAAGCTGCGGAATCGGTTGCCGATGGTGATGAAACCGTGCATGCGGTGGACTGTTGCACGTGGAGCGGTTGGTCCAGCGGTGGAACCAAGTGGACAGCRTARTCCTCGTAAGTRTACCGAGGACTTGCGACATTCGCATCCTCCCCAGATGTGCAGGAGGCCGCTAGCAAGGCGGCCGAATCTGGCGGAGTAGAAGGTGGAGTCGCCTCACCTTCCRCRGAGCTCAGTTTCCCGAGYTGAGGCGGGGYCGCACATCCTCCTTGCCCTGATCTTGGCACAGGGAGGTCTTGTGCTTGGTGCTGTTGCACCAATAGCAGCTGCCGTAGCGGTCGCGGACCTTGTACTCCGCCTCAGTCAAGCCAAACTTGACCCATGGAAACTGTCCTGGCTGTCCATTTCCAGCCTGCGATGCGGATTTCGCCTTCCCATTGTTGCGGGACTTGTTGGTGCTTCGCGGCTGGAGAGCAGCCACCTGATCTCCGTCACTTGATGCTGGAGTGGCTGCTGGGTTATCTCCACTGTCCTACTGGACTGCAGCGAAGTGCTGTTGTCGCGGACCAGTTCGTACCTTCTCCACATAGGTTGGCTGCCACGTGGACTTCTCGTGTGCAGCCGACCTGTTAGTCTTGATGAGCTCTCTCGCCTTGTTGATGATCTCTGCGAAAGTGTTGTACTGCTCGCGATCACCAAGTGCAAGGCTGAGAGCAGCGCATGACTTGTTGTAGAACTCACGCCGCAGATGCGGAAATGACAAGTCCAAATCGGGCGTTGCCACAATTTTATGCCAATCCGTGAGCCAGTCACGTGTCGGTGTGCTCCCTTGAGCCATCGTGAAGATGCGGTTGACGGCGAGTGTCGGGGCATCGTCGACGATGAACCGCTTCTTCCATTCCTTTGTCATGTCTTCCCAGGAGACCTTCTTGTACAGGTCTGAAACCTGGACGCCGTGGATGGTTGCCAT